AGGTTACGTTTCTTTACAAACCTCCAAAAACTGTATGCGACTCTGTCGGTAAATCAAACCACTCCAGCATCCCCTTAAACAATAACGTCGTGAATCAGGACCGATATGTATCCAACATAAAAAAAGCCATTTTTTAATCAAATATTTATTTGTACTAAAGTTGTTTGCATTATATTTTCATTGAATAAGTATGAAAAATTTGTCTCCTTTATTTCTTTCGGTACAATCATATGCTCGATTGTTTGGATATAACATTTTAATATCAAAAATAATTAAGTATCTAGTTTGTATAAATATTCACTTTAATTGGCGCAATTTGATGATATTATTACTTTCGTAGAGACAATAAAAATGTATTTTTTCCTAACAAAATATATCCAAATAATAAAATTACATAACTCTTGATTGGATAGCACTTATACTTGGCGTCTTTTTAAATCTGGAATCGACCCTAACTTCTTCTCCTGATTTTTGTAATATGGATTTTCGACAGAACTCCGTGGGGGCTGTCCAGAACTCTCAACAGAATTGCCGGAACTCTTCAAAAATTTTTGTGAACTTTAATATTAAAAAATAAAGTTTTATGTTTAAAAAAAATTTCTATTTTTTTATTGTAAAACACCACACAGTTAAACTTTGAAATCTTTTTTTTTTTGAAAAAACTTTTAAATACAAATTTAGAAATTTTCTATAAATTTTTTTCGTTATTCATATTATGGCAAACAAGTTTTTCCTATTTATGGAAGCCTTATGCTTCCATCTCAGAGGAACATATTCAAATCAACGCGACTCTCAAGATACAGGGATTCTTATTTACGGAAACATCGAAAATGTCCTGAGACATTACTGCCTTTTGCTGCTCTTTGATCATCCGGCCGAAGGAAGGCAGGAGGATGCAGCCCCAAACATCCCCAAATTTTTATCCTTTATACACTCCTTTTCATTACGCACATCGCTGCAATAGCGCATTTGAAGTTCCGTATGTTTAATTACTTAAATGTTGCGAATTCCTCACAGAGAGATGAGGTAATGTTGAAATTCTCATGCGCAATTTCTTGAATATATTATAGCATACAGATGTTGTTTCATTATTTCGACTAAGAAAATTTACAAAATTACAAAGGAGAAAGAAATCGTAATAAGTTGCAATTACAATTAAATAATAAATCCGCCTATATCACAATCAGCAACGATAACTAATCAAAGGAAAATTTATTTACTCATAATGTAACAAAAAATTGTAAGAAAAATGATGATTAAAATATTTTTGTGAAACTTTTTATAGTTACAGCGAAAATAATCTCGCAAATTGTTTTATTCTTTTAATCTTATTATTTCAAAGATTATTGCCTCAAAACAAGTACAATATGCTATTATTGAAAATTAAAAGTTTTTACAATTTTTTCAATTTAAATGTTCAACTTTTCTATTCCTTTGTGCTGTGGAATCAGTAAGTAAATGAGGACGTAATTCTTAGTTAAATACATAGAAGTGCATTATGAAGCAGCGTGTTAAAACCTCCCCTAATTATACCATTCTGGCGCTAAATTTCCGTCATCTTCCTCCTCGAAAGAAGAAACCGCGGAAGAAAGTGTAAAGGTCTTTCTCGCAAGGTTCTTTGTACTCGTGTCTTTGCCAGAGGGTGCGACCCCTTTTTATGCAACCGAATGCACCCCGCGGCTCGTTAATAAATAAAAATGTCGTCGGCGTTCGCCAGCGAACCACGTGTTGAGAACCATCCCATCGTCATGGCAACCCCCGTAGTCCGAGCTCACAGACGGCTAACATCACTGCTGGTCCAGGAATGTATCCTCGATATCATCGCCCTATTTCTACATTATTTTCAGTTTAACTCAACGTGAAACTTGTTTGATGTCTAAAACGATTAAATGTCTCATTTTATTTTATACATACGTACAACTTATTTCAAAACAGTTTTTTTTTCTATAGACTCTGAGAAATTTGTTATTTGTGTTGATCTTCTCTTGATAAAAGTTTCATAGGACGTCATTCTTGTTTATAATTAAACTTTTAATACTAAAATGTTATTAAATTAACATTTATTTTACATTGTGCGAAATACATGGGACAAAATTATTATTGATTTTGTATTATTGACACTCATTGTCAGTTCGCACGAGGAATTTGTCTTCAATTATTTATAATTCGATGCTTATATGTATTTAACATTCTCGTTAAAAAAAATCACTCTAAATTGCATAAAGAATTTCTAAGGAAAATTTGTCGGGCGGGTCGCCAAACACCCCGTATATGGATATTGCGATACTCTGTAGCACTCACATAGTCAGGTTTATCGTATAGTCTGTTATCCTGTGAACAAGACGTATGCAGGATTCACGGAGGAATATATTACTTTTTGTGCCGTGTGTCTCAACATATATTATGCAGAGAGATCGATGCGTTCCAACATGACTTTACGCTTCTTTCCGCATCTCGTTGTGCTATTCTATTTTATGCATATGCAATTGAAACTTTATATAGTGCAGAAACTTTTAAGAAACAAAAACTTCGAACAAATAAAACTTTCTAATGGAAAAAAATATTAATATGTTATTATAAACTGTAGTGATACAAAATTCTTACTCATAACGAACGATTTTAAATATATATTAAAAGATAATTCATTTAAATGTTTAAAAACAGTAACAAAATATAAGGTAACACATTAATATACATAATGTGAATGAAGAATGTTCTCTCTCTCTCCTTTCTATGAATTTATTATTTATTTACTTTAATAACATTTTCTTATCAATTACACAAGTCTGCAAAATTATTCTTTTCTTTTGCGGTTACTTTGTTTTTAATACTTGGTGTCCGCATTTGTCACTTAGCGGCTTTATTCTGCGAGCGGGCATCAATTACGAAAAGCGCGCCTGAATAAGTTCAATGGTGCCTGCGGGAGAAGATTTGACATTTTCACATTAAAGTACAATGTTCAAGCTTTAGTTTGGGCCATCTAAAGTCTTTCACCCACGGGTTCGTCAGCTATAAATTTTCAAAAATAATTAAAAATGCATTTTATGGGATCTTTAACTCCATTTTCCTTATAAACTTGATAGTATGATAAGACATTTTTATTCATGGAAAAGCTTAACTTTATGATTTATGTTTATGAAGACTTGTTCATTAAAATACTTAAACATTTTACTTATGAATTGAAAAATAATTAAATATTATCTTTTTTTAATGTTTTCGTGTTTTAATTCTTGCAATGATAAGAGAAGTTTAAGTCTAATCAGAATTCAGACCCTTCATTCTTGATACAAAAAAAACATTGACGCCAATAGGAGGCCTATTAAGCCCAAATTTATTGTGGATTTTATCAGAAACACGCCTTTAGCAATTCAATCATTGTGGAAAATACATTTAATTGTCAACTATAAAGTCGGGGAGATGGAGACGCACTATACATCGTAGCGTTTATACCGACAATGTGCAGGGCTTTCCATACGTCCACGCCCCAAATTTGGCATTCAAGCATCTCGCAAAGTTTGCACCAGGAATAATGTCGTCGCGCTAACTTTGCCGGAAATAAACGCTACGTTATGACATGCACCAACGTCAGTTATTCAGCGTTTCCGGGTAACTTTGACGTCCTGGCATACAACTCGAAATCGGCACAAAATGTTTCTCAATATTGCATGATGTAACAGCGTAATTTTAGAAATATATTAACATTGCTAAAATATTATTAATAACGACAATAATAATAATAACAATGACTCACGAGAGAATTGAATTGATGTAAAACAAGAACAAAACAGCATTTATCGAGAGCCAATTACCGAGTTATGATACTTCTTCGTCCTTTCATGAAATTATTCTATGGAAATTACATAAAAGCCTATTTACATCACGACACAATATATTCGTACAATACACAGCTCCGTCTTCCTCCCCTCCCTCTCACCCTTCTGGAAAATTTACCTGTAAATTTCCGAGCGATTACCGGTACGAGGGTACTTTTGTACGGTAACAAGAACTTGCGTACCTGCTATGCGATAAACGAGTCTTTCATAGGGAGATGGAAGGAAGCGGGGGGAGACATCCTTGTCCGCTGCTTCTTTCATAACGCCTTTCAGATCGTAAGAAAAGCGCATACGCTCGGCTTCCGAGCCTTCGAGCTAAATTAAATGGAAAATCCGAAATTTCTCTTTCCGTCCTCAAACCTCTTGGTCAACGAACGAGGATTCATTGTATTTATCAGAGCTTGCGATAATGAATCTGTCGCAAAAGATCAACATCTTGTAAAATTAAAGTTTGCCCTATGAAAAATGATTAGTATTAAGTTACGTACGTTTGCGGATTACTTGAAAAGGGTCCAAATCCGGAACCGAAACGTCGTTTGTTTTTTAAATAAAAACATTGGCCAGTGTAGGTCGTTTTTGAAAAATTACATATTGAAAAATAAATAATTTTATTACCTCCACCCCCCCCCCCCCACACACACACGTACGCAACATTTTTGTACAATCTTTTATCTTTCACAATTGTTTGATTAAATATCTTATTTTGTATTTAGTACACATACAATATTTTCTTTCTTTGCTACGAGCAAATAGAATTAATCTGTTCTGTAACTTTGGGAAAATTGTATATGCAACCTAGTTACAGCACTTGCAGCTGTCGCCGATTGAGCGTGTACCGTTTGATACGCTTTATCGAAACGCAGGTAGGCGCTCGCGTGGGAAAACCAGTGTTACCCTACGCCCGTAACACGACCATCTTCGCGTCGTAAAATCGTCGTAAAAGCAATCTAATTGATGCGAGGGGCACGAGTTGGTGACGGATTGTAATTCTCTCTCGTCCTTTCGTGTTGCAGGAGCGATGTCTTCCTGGAGCCATACTTGCAGCAACACGGGACCGTTCAAATGGTCAGCTCACCGAGCACCCCGCCGCCGAATCCACTGCAGCATCATCAACTTACGCAGCTACATCATGTACAGGTGAGTTGCTAAGAAACCGGAAAGGTGCTAAGGTGCTAAGGAGACACTGCAAGCTCCACCGAGTTATAATATCTTATAATATCCAAACAAAAACCTTTCCGTCTTTAATGCACGAATAATTTTAAAAAATGGAAATAATTAAAAAAAATCGATTTCTTTGGCAAATTGATTTTGTCGTCATTTGTCTCTCTCTAAATAATTTTTATCTCAAACATTTTCGCCTGCCGATCTCAATTTTTAAGATGTTGGATTAACAGTTGGACTACTTAAAATGAGATTCCCTGTACACATATGTATGTAGATGTTCCAAAATTGCAAGAATGTATTGATACTCAAGTAATACTATGTTGCTTTATATTCACGTGTATTCTATTTCATCGCGAAAAAATGGAACATCGTTATACAGGGTGAGCCACTTAAGATTGGCCACCCGAAAAACACCAGTATTTTGTAGACAAGAAGAAACACTTGAAAATAATATCTCCATGGGCATCAAAACAGCCTTGGAAAAGGTTACAATCATATATATGTTAAAAAATGCATGGTTTTTAAATGACTGTCATTTAAAACAACGAAGACAATCTTTATATCTTTAAGCGTCTCCATTTCAGAAATTATATCCATCACTGTATGTTGTTGCCCTCGATACTAAACCATTTTTATTTCAAGCGTCTCTTCCTGTTCCAAAAATGTTATTTGGACTCTGGATGGCCGGTCTTAAATGACTCACCCTACACTGTAAAAAAATTACATATAAAATTACAATTATTATAATGGGTAATATTGGGACCATCTATTAAAGGTGTATATTTACATACGTTGGTGCACCCTCAGGATTTCTGTTACTGAGACCAAAATATTCTTGACGTATTTATATTTCTCACAACCTCATTTAGTATAAAAATAAGATAATTTCAAAATAAAATCACTAATCGACTAGTAAGAATATTCTTAAAAGTCGCCAGGAGTAATTAATAACATCAGTGATTTTTATTGACCGTATCTGGCAATTAAAATTCTTATTGCGAAAAATATTACCCCAGCCAGGACTCGAACCTGTCATCAATAATTCTTGACTCTCTTTCCTCTATCCGCACAGTACAGTACGATACGGCGATTCGATTCCGTAACTCGATATAGTCATACCGCATTTTAGATTCAGACGAATCGTCAGGAACAGCGTCTCATCGCGGGTGACTTTTTCTAACAAGCAATTAAAGGATTTGCAATTAGCTCTTTCGCTTCTCCGCCTCCCCTCTCCCTTCTCTTTCTCGAAGAGAGAGTATTCAACACGCGACGCACGTCTGCATTTAATCCCGTTAGCTCGAAACCGTGTGTCAGTCTGCATTTCAAATTAAATTACACTCGAACCCCTTCACTGGTACCCTTGGCTCACCCTCCCGCTCCCATTTCTTTTTCAGCCATTCGTTTTGCTTTGGCCATCATCGATTTTTCCTTTCATCTCCATTGATGCGATTGATACGAAAGGAGCTATGTCAAGTTGGGAGAACGTAGAAAACGAATCGTTCGATCAATATCGATCAATTCGCCGAAAATAAAAAAGGGGAAATCGATAAAATTTTCAATACTTGGAATATCTAATCTTCATCACACTGCAGTTCGTTTCTCCTTAGGAAGGACTCAAAAACGATCGATTATTATTTTCTATGGCATGATTCCATATCTCGTGGAAAAGTATTGGGAGAGGAAGGAACGAGAGCAGTAAATAAATTGCGACTCAGGCACGTTGTCTGCGAACAGAGATAACTGCATGCTGAGTATAATGTGGAATTAGGGGCGCATTGTGTGACAGAGCTGGCGGGATTTACGCCTTGAGACCCGAAAAAGACCAAGATTTTCGCGTTGTAATAAAACAAATCGCTAAAAATTGGCGATTAAATATTGAAACAATTGCAATCGCGCGGATTTAATGAATTCGATGATCATTTAATTAACAGACTTCTATATTAATATTTGCAACTTGCCTGAAATATGTACTTATATCTCAGAAAGCAGACGTATCTCACAAGCTTATTTTTGAACGTGCTGCAATTGCACTTCAAAGAAATTTAATTATTTATTGCTAATTAGTATTGAGAAGAAAAGTGCAATAGATAAAAATTTTACAGTAAATATTACGCAATAACTTCTTTACTCTCATTGTTAATAGCGGATTTAATTTAGATAAAAATAAATTGTCACTGAGATTAATTTATATATCTAAATTTATATTTCTAATATAATTAGTCATGCAGTAATAAAGAAATGTATCATTTGTTAATTATTAGATACATAAAATTAAATACAATATAAATATATAAATTAATATCTCAATAATTATTATAATTAGTTTATAATAAATACAGGTTTACAGTTTAAAATTATTGGAGTCACAAATCGTAATACAAATATGATGTACAGAATAGCTCTATTTCCTGTTATTAATTAGTAATTTTTTTTAGATTAATTAGTAAAGGCCTATAGTCCTAATTAATTGGAACTACATATTTTTACAACTGTATACATATGTATAATACATTTTTTTATAAATATACATACAATATATATAGATATACTATATATATAGTTGTAAAAATATTTTAATAATATTAATAACATTCCATATAACTCATAATCATACGTAAAAGATATAATTCAAGAAATCTGTTCCAAAGTATATTTGTGAAAGTAATCTGTGTAATCGTAACGCATTCATTTTTATAAAACTATTTATATATTTTGTTCTGAGGCTATTTTATTTTCATTATATTAATATGGTGATATTGTTTCTTATTAGAGCGAAGAATCGCTTTCATCAGAAGAATCAGCTACTTCGGCAGGATCTTCAAGATCTACGGAAGATTCTGGTAGCGAAGTCGCTTGCGATATTACCCTAATCGAAAGGCTCATACGCTCTCATCCGATCTGGTTCTTGCCGGGCATCCAGAGAGCCGGAGCCTTTCACTTGTTGCAGGGCAAAGAGGAAGGGGTAAGTGTACACTTACATCATAAAATTTCTCTATTCTCAATATCTCGGAATTAAACAAATTCTTATTCCTGGCATTTTTCTTCATTCTCAATTATACTCCGATGATATACATACAATAGCTTTTTATTGTCATATGCACGGTGACATATTTATTCTACATATTCTATGCACTGATAATTTTTAGTTTAGTCTTGAAATAGTAGAAAAACAGCAAGGGATGATACCATAAGAATGCATAAGTTAAAAGTACTAAAGATACAAAAGTATTAAGAAGACAACTTTCGATGTAGATGTAAATGTGTGATCAGAAAATGTTCTGAAATCAGCTGATGCCGTAGGTCGCGGTCCATTATTGTTTTCGGATTCCCCTGTGGGTAGCGTTCGTTTACCGGAGTCCCCAAGACAAAGGAGCTTGTAGACACGACGAGAAAAACTGGCTCAAGGCACCTGTTCTCGATCCTCGAAACCTTGCGATTGTTTCCAAGGAAGATTTGCGTTTTCGAGAAACGTTCGCGAACAATGTTATTAATTTATTATATAATATTTGCATGGATATTTGACTTGAAAAATAATTTTTCATATGAATATAAAACAATAATTACAAAATTGAATTTTAAAACCCGGTATTTTTAATGTGTCCAAGTTTCGCGGAGAAAGAAATTTAATTATCCTACCTTACTTTACTCTCGTGTTTTCACTCTCCTTGTGTCGAATATTATTTTCTGAATGGGAGGTCATTTCGCTCAGCCTCGTTTTTCGCTATCTATGTATACATCTACCGTAACATGCTTTGGAACAATGAGCGTGAGTATGTCGGCTCGTATCTAACGCGCGGGGCGCCTCGAAGAATAATGATGCTCCCAGGCACACGGGAAACCGTGTCAATGCCTGACGGCATGCAATCGGCGCAAAGTTATGTTAGGAAAATCCTTTACGTATCCGGTGTCTTACGTAAATCCACGTAGCAAAATTTGATGAAGCGCAAAACTCGTTATTTGCATTGTATTGTTTTTTTTCACGATGCAACACTAATGCATGTACAAAAATGATTTTCCACGTATGTATGTACATACATTCACGAAACTGAAAACTGTAACTTTTATTTTATTTTACATATAGTAAATTCAACACTAATATGCTTCAAGAATAATTAATATTATATTAATATTATAATTAATAAATGTTTGGTTGCATTGTAAGGGTTGAATGAGTAATAAGAGCATTAATTATGAATACTGCAAAATATATTTTCCACGTGCAATAAAAAAATCCACTAAGCGGTAATGTTTGTCATCTTCTTTCATACCTACTTTCTTTTTTCATTCCTCAACGTTGTGTAATAATATTCGCGCAAAACTCTACACTGTAATCAGCGCGGAAATGACTGCGAACGAGCGACGAGGGCACCGCTCTTTTGCCATTGTTTCTCCCGGGGAGTCATTGTTTTGCACCTTTGTTAATCGTCCTCCGTCATTCCCGTTCTTTCGGGGCCCTTTTGTGGTCTCATTATCGCCTCGAGTGAATTGCGCTGCCGAAAAACAATACGCTTCGCAATCACTTTCCATAGATAAGACAGAATTCCTTTTCATTTCTCTGCATCGACACGTAATAAGAATCGCAGTGCAAGCACTTTTGCCATTAAATCTTGAATTATCACTAGAAAAGCATCGAATTTTTTTTTATTCTTTGCTTTTTTATTTTAATTAATTCTTATATAAATATAAATTAAATTTTATGTTATTAAAATAATATATTTTCTTCTTTAAAATTGAAAAATCATAAAAAGCTAGTATATGTATACCAATAACACAGGAATATTTTTTATTTAGCTTCTTGATATATTCAAATTGTCTACTAGGATTTGCCTTCTAGTTTATCTTTATTTGTTTCAATTTTTTCAATCATAAAATTTTATACGTAGAATCCTTTTCGGAATCTAAATTGTTATTTCCTCCTTGAATCCCCCCCTCTCTCTCTCTCTTTCTCTTTTCTCAAAAAATATAAAGGAAAGTCCCTTGTTATGAGATAGGCTACTAATACGAGATAGCATTATGTTATAAACATAAGTCAGTGTCTATTAGTGTCAGTGTTTGTTATAAATATCATTTGGTTGCAGAACTTCGTAGTACGACAATCGAGTCAGAGCGATACAATGGCTCTCTCAGTGAGATTACCTGTCGGGAAAGGACCCTACATTGAGCATTACCTGATCCAGGCCAACAAGGGCAAACTGAGCTTGGAAACGAGCGAGAACAGATTCGACAATATCCCCTCGCTGATTGCTCACTACTCACAGTGCTGGTAAGTGCCTGCTCTTCTCTTTTTCTTTATTTATATGTGAATTTCCGCCCCAGAAATAGCATGCTATCATCTTTTTCATCCTTACATTCTAATCTCTACAAATTTACCTGTTACAAATCTTGATTTTGATTACCAATCCGTTGTTTATTATACTATCTTCTTCTATTAATTAATATGAACAACTTTTGTCAGAAACATTTTTTGAGAGAAAATTTGCGTGAGTGCGTGCATGTATTTACATATTTAACTGCATTTTTAATTTTAATTATAATTTAATTATAATTATAATTAATTATTATTTATTCAATTAATTAATGAATTGTCCCAATACATGTAATGTTACTTTGAAATTATTAACTTAAGTAACTGTATAATTAATCCGTGTCTATTTCTGTTTGACAAACAGTGATGAACTACCAGTGCAATTGACTTTACCAAGAGCGATGCGAGAAGCGAAAAATAGGCAGCAATTATCGTCGCTAGCGTTGTTGGGTCAGGAATTTTGGCGATATCCGATGGCAAATCCAAAGCCACCGGAAAGCAGTAGCAGCAATACTTCTAGTCTGAGTAGTTTTCATGGGGGTGAGTTTTTTTTAATAATTAGTTTGTGTAAATAATTTAAAAATAAATTAAATATAAATAAATAAAATTAACAAGAGAGAGAGAGAGAGAGAATTTACAAATTAATTTAAATTAATCTTCTGATAATTCTCAGTTTCTAAGAGACATCGCTTTTATCTGAAATGTTTTTAAAATAGATTATTATTTTTATTTTTTTAAGTTTTAATTTAATATGTATAAGGTATACAGGGTGGGGGGGGGGGGGCTATTTTAACTCGTACACGATAATATCTCCTCAGGTAGGGGTGATAGTGGAAAATGCCTCAGACAAAAGTTATTATAAGATATTACCGTGTACAGATTAAAATGGCCCACCCTGTATATCTGTGTCTATATGCATATAGATAATATTTTAATACTGACACGCTTGTTATTTTCATTAATTAATTAAATTTGTGTTGAAGATTTACGTTCAAAGCCAAATAACTTACTTAAAAAGCTAAGGAAAAATAATAAACAGACGATTATAATGTAATCTGTTTGCAGGTAACAATAACCATCACATTAACAATAATAATAACGGAGATACGCCAACCACGGAGAGTATAGTGCTTAATCTGGCCCCAATATCGTCGCATAATATACGTAAGACTAATGTTCTCTATTTTTTTTTTTATTGTTATAACATATTTTCTCCAGATCGGTATAGTAGTGATTTTTCCTAAAATATGTATTTTTTAATCGAAATTATATGACACATTATTAGTCCTTTAGCAACAAGCTTTTCTCTAAAAGTTTTTAAAAATAGATTATGTCTTTTATTTTTTAAGTCTTAATTCATGTATAAACTATGCATATGTCTAGCTATATACATATGTATATAGTTATAGGTAATATTTTAATACTTTTAAATATATTTTGCGCATACAGTTTTATTACTTTTTACTAAAAATACATATAATATAGGGGAGAGTTGCCGAATGCGTTGCCGAATCAAGGAGAAATAATTATAATTTTATTCACCATTATAATTTTGAAATATCTTAATTTGTGTTTGACACATCGTCCATGATACTTGACACAAATTCTTTCTACGATCTCATTTATATTTGTAGTTATCATAGTTTTCGAAAGTCAAGGTCAAGCCAAATTCCTCCAAAATGAATATCTCAAAATAATCCCACAAATAATCTGTCATTTCACTTTGCTTTTGTATGTAGACTCCGCTTCTCCGACGAATACTGTCAACGCAAACACCTCGACATTTGCGTCGTCGTTGCCGCGTCAACCACGTCCAACTCCACCGAATACTCTCAATCTGACAACATTCAACGAACCCTTGAATGATAACAAAAGGGACCGGATCTCATCAGGTGACAAACTCTCTCACAAACTGATCTCGCCAAATCTCGTGCAAAGTGTGCGGTGTCCTTCGCCGGTGGTCCACAACGTCGAAAGCAACGTTTTGAGTCCTGTTCAGGATATGAGAAGTTTTGACATTTTAAAGAATGGTCTAGATACACCAAAACTGACGACGGTCGAGTTTACCAAAAGTTCAGGGAAGTTCGCGTCTACTTCGAGTTTTCATCAGAACAACTTATCGTGTACCGCATCTCCAGAATTATCGGATAGTAGAAATATCATCACCATTGAGAATCAAGGAGCTAGGCAAAATGTGAAGACGCCACCACCGCCGCCGCCAAGGTGGGCCAAGCCAGGCATCGGTCAGAATCAGAATAATTTTACTGTGACTACGACGGTGACGTTCAATGTAAACCAGAGCAATGTGATTGCTTCACAGGTAAAATTAAGAAACATTGATTTTACGAAATTTTATAATTGCAAAAATTACGCTTTTAATTGTGTAACTTTAAATTTACATAATTATGTAGCTAATATAGTTATATATAATATACATAATTATTATCTAATATATTATATATTATACAGATAATATTATTATATATAATGCAGTTAGACATAATTATCTAGTCAATTTTCTTGTATCTACTTTTACAGGCATATCTATTTTATATTTATTTATTATATCGCATCATGTTTTGAATATCATTATTGTTATAAAGTAAATGAATCTTTCCTGCCGATGAAATAATTGCCACTTTTCCATCTCTCTGTTTGCCAACAGCAAAACACACCGTCGGATCCCAATTCGTCGCTGCTGAGTCCTCAATCTAATAAATCTCTCAATTCCAATTTTTCCATTAAATCACCCCTTTCGCCCACCACTTCGGTTGTATCCCCCACCTCAAAGTTAATTCCAAAGACACCCAACATGCTCTCTCCAAATACTCCTTCTAGCACCAGTAAATCAAAAAGGCGACGCGATCGGGAGAACCGGAAAAACTCGCAACATTATCAGGAATCAGATATCTTGGATTCATATTATCGGAGCTCACCGGCTGATAAGATTTCCGATTACGAAGACATCTGGAACACGACTGATCAATCGACACAGTCGACCTGGAATAGGTTAAAAGATAACAGAGTTGCCTGCACTATGCAAGATTGTGTGAGAAATTCTAATGACCATCTAATGAGTCCCAGAGAATCCGAAAAGAGTCTTATCAATGAAAGATTGCCAGCGGCAGAACAGATGATTCTGAAGAACGACAGGTTTATCTTAAAAAACAATAAAATTGGATATAAAGAAATGATGAGTCCGGAATTTAGTAGTTTTAAGCCTGTTTCGGAGATGAAAAGTCCTGACCAGAGCTCGCCGGAGGAGACTGGTATGGGGAAGAGGCCTGATCTGCTATCTAGAGTCTGTAAGGGTCTTTTAAATTGTTGGAAAAGATTATTGTAGAAAACAGTAGTGCAATATTAAAAGAAAGAGTTTGTAATTATACAAAAATAGGAATTTTATTAATTAGGAAAATTTTGTTTACTATATTTTTATTGTTTCATTATATCTATTATTCTTGAATTTAATGAGAAGAATAAGAACAGACTTGTAAATGAAAATAACGAATATAATATTGAATTTCAAGTCAATAGTGTTTCTTGTTAACATTGTATAGTAATCTCTACTTTGATTTTCTTCAAATTATTAAACTTTAAAAAATAAACATTAAAAGCGAATCTTTAGAAATTTTTTAAAAGGGATTTTAAGATTAGAAATCATTTTTCCAGGCAGTGCCAATTCGTTAAACAGCCCCAGCACGGTGACACCCCCGAGAAACAAATTGGGCCTCGTTTTGGCGAAGTCGGAGAGTAACAGTCCCCAGACCCCCGAGTCTAAACAGAGCAGTCCCTTCTACGCGGAACCGGCTGATGCGATTGTTCAAAATGCTATTGTAATTCCGAGAAGACGACCAACCAAAAATAATCCGGCGTTGAACAAGTACCGGCACAGCGAACCGGGTTGGTTACAAACACCGACAGGGAATAATGCTAATCAATTGCATCCCATTGATTGCTGGGAAGAGCCCTCCGAAGAAACGGAGGATAAGACGCCATTAATCTCGTCGTCAGTCGACAACCTAGCGAAAAGATTGGCTCAAGCTAAAGAGACGAAGAAAATTCCTCGGGCGAAACCCGTTCAACCACCGAAGATCAGGACTAAAGTGTTTAACGACACTTCTTGGGCGGTAGATTCTAGTTGGGAGTTTATCGGTACGTTCTACATTGTACAAAATATAAGATTATTCGAAAGATTATTTTCGAAAAGTTGTTGCAAATTACATTAAATACCAGCGCTTAAAGGAGTAAAATATATTATAATTTTATAAATATTTCTAAACAATTGTATTTTGTTTTTCTTTAAATTACTGTAATAGTATTTATTCATTTAGTATTTATTTCAAAATAAATACAGAAATAATTTATATTTGCATAAAAAGATCTATTTATTATTAACTAAGGTTGGGAACTATTTTTAGAAAACATCGATATCTGTTAAAAATTTTAAATTATTATTCTTGATGTAATAAAACTGAAATATCGGATATATTACAACAATTTTTCATTATTTCATTATTTTGAATAGGCAATGAGGCCGAAGAACCAGATTGTGAACCAGACTATGACTGTGATGCCGATTATGATGGCGACAATGTCGCAAGAAAATTCCCCGGTGACGAGGAGTGCAATAAAACCACTGTTGGAAACACTTTGACTGTTCAAAATATCATCTCGCAACGGTAACTTTTTTTTATGTGAACAAAGTCGCAAATAATTTCATCACAACTTTGTATAAAGACACATTACACATATTATATACTTCGAAAATATTTTTTCTTTTGCATTAAAACTTAAGTTTTTTCTATTATACTGAGTGTCCGACGCAAGAGGACCTCTACGAAAAGTGGTGGTAAATTGGGTCAGACTAAAAAGAAAAGTCATATACCATTTTACAAAAATCGCAATAGTTATTGAATAATTTATTGAAACGTCTGAACGAATAAGCGCGTGGAGAGCGGTAGGCCAGGCTCAGAAGGCATATCATATTTGCGTATACTAGATCTCCTAACAACGGTGAGCAAGAGGGTAGAGTGATGCACCGGAATAAAAAACAGCGAGCAATGTTACGTCCAGTGTTAGACACCCTGTATAGCCATAAGAGATCATCTCTTGCACTTATCGTGAATTTAATTGCTTTATCTACATAATAATATACGACGAAAGACAAAAATTATTTGGTTGGAACTGTTCTAAATATTTAAAAACCTGTAAATGGAGAGAAACTTGATTCAAACGTAGTTGAGAATATTGGATTCGATGCTTGTGAAATCTTATAGGTACCCGGAACTGCTGAAGCCGCCTGATACGTCCGAGTCATTATACAGCGACCGGAACTCCTCGTATGACAATGTGGAAAAACGGAATGTGGAGCGCGAGGATACCCCAGACTCACGGAAAGGTCACACGTACGACCCTTCTGAGTGGGAAACTATGCTGGACACAGATGCAGAGAGTGACGTAGAAAGGATCAAACGAAACAAGAGTTTTAAGGAACGGCTGGATCCTCTCTTGTGTAAGTTTTAGCTTTTTTTTATATTCAGCTCTGAAATTGACCGGCATAAATATAATTTACAAACTAATGCTTATGTATACAGGGTGAGTCGTAAAGACTGTCCCAACCTTTTACCATAAGAAATGAATTACCGACCGCAACTGTAGCCAACTCGGGGAAGAAATGGATAAAGTCTCGTTCTGTTGCGTTTGGTAATTCACCTCTTATGGTAAAAGGTTGGGACAGCCTTTACGACTCACCCTGTATATGCACGGACATACATAAATACCATATTTTATACATGAATCATTATAAGTATTGCTGTAGTGTTATGAATAAAATATGACGTGACTATTTCTTCTTCTAATTTAATCTTTAGAAAAAATTCTTTCACAGCACCGCCACGAGTGCAAGCGCTTTCAAAAAATCGTGACCAGCTAAATGGGACTGGTGCAGCTATTAGAGTTTATGCTCTTCAGCTTGCGGCAGACAAGACTACAACTTTCTCGCAGAATATCGACAATTTTATTCAATGTACACGAGAGAGCAAGGAGGCGATGCCGCATGTGGTGATGCGCAATATGCGGCAGTTTATGTCAGGTATGAAGAATTATCTGGTAAAGCACGGCGAGCGCGAATTTGAGAGGGAAGTGGAAAAGCAGCGACTGAAATTACGACCGAATGAGTTCCTAAATCTTGACGCCATTCTCGAGGACGTAATGATGGGGTTGGTTGTGAGGCCACTGCGGGAACACGTGTGCCGGCTGTTTATCGAACATTATTTTGCCACCGGTGCGCTGCAGATCCTGACGGAGAACATTCAGCATGCCCAGGGCAAAACTATTCACGATCTCGGTGTTCAGGTGAGTAGATCTCCTCAATGCGCACGTATACATATACAGGGTGAGTCGTAAACTGTCCCAACCGTTTACGATAAGAGACGAATTACCGCAAGTGTAGCCAACTCGGGGACAAAATGTTCTAAATGTCTCAATCATGTAAGATCTAATTATTTATCAATTCGAGAAATGTAATTAGATATTACATGATTGAGACATGTAGAACGAGATTTAATCCATTTTTTCCCGAGTTGATTACAGTTGCGGTCGGTGTAATTCACCTCTTATGATAAACGGTTGGGACAGTTTTTACGACTCACCCTGTATGTGTGGTGCGTACATGCATGCGTATCACAAACATTGAAAAATTTTAAGAAGAAAACAAAAATTCCACAAGCACCAAAATAGCTCTTCACGGAATTCATAGAATTTATTAAAGAGTGAGATGAAATTTGTCGCACCTATTATATTTCAATCGTTTTGCATGTACAGTCCAAAATCGTACCTCCTTCGGAAGAGAGTCTGGAGCGCATTCTCAAATACATCGAGCGATTGCAGAGAGCTGATTCTCCGCTTGAGAAACTGGAGCACCTATTGGCAGCCATTTCAGCTATCTTCAACTCTGTAAGTTCTTCTATAATCTTCCTCAAACGTATTACTGTTCGTATGAACATAGACATTATACAGTATACTTTCTACCCCCCTTCCCCCAATATACCTTCAGTATTCATCAATATTTGTGTTCTTTTGATTGCAATATTGTTAAATATAGATTTACAAAATA